CGCTCTAGCGCTTCCGCTCTGCCCCTCAGCTGTCGCTGGGACCAGTTCTGGTCCGCTCCATTCGCTACACCCCCTTCTCCACCCTTCCCTCGGCTGTCCCCCATTCCCTTCGCGCTATATATTAAAATAGGAAGGGGAATCGAAGAGAAAATTCCGGAATAATAAAAATTAAGAAATTGGTAAAAGTAGTAAAATTGTTTTAATAAAATTATTATAATGGTAAGAAATGTTTCGATCCATTAAGCCGTATACATTTCTGACCATTACCATGCATTTTATTACGAGAGGCTAGTTTATTTACAAAAGCAATGACCAGATCTAAGGTCACCTATAACGCGTGATAAGTTAATAAACCCACTTTTCACCTCATGCTATGCGCATGTCGTTTACATAACAATTCCTGTTTCTTTTGCTATATTTCCTTTTTTTTCCAGCATGGCTACTGCTAAATAGTGTTAGCGATTGTTAGCGTAGTGTTAGCAGAATGTTGCCGCGAAATAGTGTTAGCAGAGATGCTAGGGTGACGGGCCGAGCCGAGCCGAGTTTTTGAGTGTTTTCAACTGGTAGTATGCGTCTCGTAGTGGCGATTTCCGGCAAAAGTTGCTACCGAGTGTTCGTGACGTAATTTCTAGTCTCCATCATTATCTATTTTACATACATATATATATATATATTTTGCTTGTTGCCGCAACGTTTCTGGCCAGCCTTGCCGCGAAATAGCGTTAGCAGAGATGTTAGAGTAACGGCCGAGCCGAGTCAAGTTTTTGAGTGTTATTGACTGGTAGTATACGTCTCGTAGTAGCAATTTCTGGCACAATTTGCGTCCAAGCCGCTCATGATGTAACATTTTTTGTTGTAACATAAGAATTTCTAGTTCTCATCACTATTTTACATATATATATGTATATATTTTGCGTGTTGCAGTAACGTGCCTGGTGCACCTTGCCGCGAAATAGCGTTAGCAGAGATGCTAGGGTAACGATCAAGCCGAGCCGAGTTTTTGAGTATTATTTACTGGTAGTATGCGTCTCGTAATGGCGATTTCTGACACGATTTGTTTCCGAGCGTTCGTGATGTAAAATCTGTCGTTGTAAAATAATAATTTCTAACTTCTGTCTTTATATATATATATTGCTTTTTATAGCAACGTCTCTGGCGAGTCCCGCTGCGAAATAGTGTTAGCAGAGATGCTAGAGTAATGGCCGAGCCGAGCCAAATTTTTGAGTGTTCTTAACTGATAATATATGTCTCGTAATATCGATTTCTGGCACAAGTTACTTCCGAGCCACTTATGATGTGACATCTATCGTTGTAACATGATAATTTCTAGTTTCCACCATTATCTATTTTATACATATATATGTAAACACATATATTTTGCGTGTTGTAATTAACGTCTGTGGCAAGCCTTGCCGCGAAATAGTGTTAGCAGAGATGCTAGAGTAATGGCCGAGCCGAGCCAAATTTTTGAGTGTTCTTAACTGATAATATACGTCTCGTAATATCGATTTCTGGCACGATTTGCGTCCGAGCCGGTCATGACGTAACATCTGTCGTTGTAACATAATTTCATGCTGAAAAATGGGATTTCTTCAGGCAATGACTGGGATCACCGAGGATCTGAAATGGCTGGGTTTATCCGAGAATAAAGTGGCTGAAACACAGAAAAATGCAGCTCTCGTTGATAAACTACGCCGAATTGTTGCCTGCGCCAAAGATGCGCTGGGAAAAAATGAACAAGCCGCTAGCAAACAGCAGGTTTGCCTGATATTTTAAAAGGAATGAATATTACAATGATATTAGTTTTTCTACCCGCATGCACTGTTCATTTTGTGTTTGCAGCTAAGGGATGAAACACAGACAGACTGTATCATAAAATGTCTTATACACATGACATATTCAAGTGAAATCCTTCGATTCCTCGATTTCTTTTGATTTACCGGTTACTGGGGGAAAAATAGTTTTTTTTTTTTTTTTTTTTTTTTTTG